TGTGTATACTATATTGGTAATAATAATCAACGTATTAATTCTGTTTTATTATTATATCGTCATCACTATCATCACCATTATTCTTATTATTATTTTTATAAAGATTATTTGAATTAAAACGAGATAACATTCCATCAGTGATCTCAAATTTATTGCATCCCCTATTCATTTCAATACACTAACTTGTAAGTAAAAGTCCGTTAAGTGTCGCCAGCAGTTTATCAAAGAGAAGCTCTTAGGATCTACCTGAGAACCTTTCGAGAATTAAAAGAGCCAAGTTTGCCCGGCTCTGTTGTAAATTAGAGAGAATTTGTATTTTTATGGAGTGAAAATACCCAGAGACTGTTCAAATGACCATCTGTTCTATAAACAAAAGATTTTAAGAAGGTAGAAAAACACGGCAACAGGTTGGCAGAAACAAATATATCGTAGTCCCACTACATATTACTATTTGAAAATATTTTTTTTCCCTTAAGCACGAATTATCGTACGTTTAATAGAAATTTGAATTACGATATCGTACATCGTATTTGAAGCAAAATTATCGTATGTCCCCGTAATTATCGTGCAGACTGGCAACGCTGAATTCTATCATGTCGAATGAACGAAACTTAAACTATAGAAACAAATTCGGAAACAGTTGAGTGGTGAAAGTGAAAGTTTCCATTTTGGTACGGTCGGCCGTGACTATTACCTATCAACCGTTTATGATTAGTGACTGTGAAATTCGTAAAGGTTATATGTTCGTAAAATGTTTATTTACATAAAAAATTGTTTAAAACACCTTTACTCTGACTGTTTTCTTGTACTTCTTCAATAAATATACTAATGTAAGCTTTTTATAAAAGAAAAATTTATTTTCAAAAAAGGTAACGACTTTTAATTAAATTACCTGTCAAAATGAGCTGTCAACTGTGACGTGTAATCTACAAATATTAATTTGCAAAAAGAAAAGCTAAAAAGGCCTTTCCCCGGACTTTTTCATGGAAGCTTTTCATAATTAGGGCATTTTAAATCATTTCCAGCAAAAAAAGTTGCATTTTCGAAAAAGCCGCGATTCGGAAGTTTTCCCGCACGGGTAATGCAGTTCCAATTTGTCTCTATGTCCCTCTCATTCGTTTCTTCGGCCGCCTTTAGAATTTCGTCTGTCTTTGTACGTAGCCTATTAGGCGTTTCCTTAAATAAATAATAAAATGTTTTTGTGGATACCAATCGTTTTTAGTATGCTACTGTTATGTATTTGACTTGCACACAAAATATACACTATTCCGGACTAACTAATACTCTGGTGGTTTAAACAGTTTATTTACACAATATACAATATTTACAAGTATGGACGACTAACAGCAATATACATAAACGAGAAAATGGCATATGACAACGACACGACTGACTAACGACGACGAAAACGGGAGACTGCCTTCCCGCACTTTTTCTTGTAGTGCCTGCCATTGAAGTGGAAGAGAACACTGGAATGAGCGCGCTTATGGGAAGCTGTTGAAAAAGATGATCCCAAGTGTTAGACAAGGTCAGACGCTGTGGGGTGGTTATCTGTCTGCGTCGTACTAACGTAAATAGAGGTGTTATTTAGACTGTGTTGTTATTTTTTTTTTAGTTTTTTAAAGTAATTAGTTGAAATGGTTAAATATTGTTGTACATATAGGTGCACAAATGAATGGAGATCCAATGAAAACATAAAATTCCATAAATAAGTATTAATTAGAGATTAAAACAATGAAATATAATTTAACCTGCATTATGGGTACATGTGTACGCNAACGAGAAAAAGGCCTATGACAACGAGACGACTGACTAACGACAACGACAACGGGAGACTGCCTTCCCGCACTTTTCCTTGTTAGTTCTCGCTTACTCCTCGCTGATTAGGTAGCGCCATTTTGAACGACCACTACTTCTATGGTTGAACATATGAAATAACATAGATAGGGAATGTTTGCTTAAACTAAATATTATAACTATCTTACTTTATAAATGTAACATATATCTGTTATATACCATATATAACAGCTACCTGCCGTTAACAACTGTTTCATCTATGATTCACTATAATCTCTTAACTAGTGATGGGCATAACGATTCTTATTCGATAACGTTGCAAATTGGAACTTTGAATAAAAATAACGTTTTTAAAAAACGTTATTAAATAACGTTATTTTGAAACAAATCAAAACGGCTTTTTCGATTATTTTCAAATTATAATTAAGTTGGGGTAATAAAAACAACATAAAATTTAAAATAAAACACATTTTATAAATATATGATAGATTCATTTAAACATAAATGATTATCGATAGTCGATCCGTTCCGTTCATCTGTTCTGTTGTGTTGCAGCGCTTGCCACTTTACGTTCCTCAGTAACGAGTTATACGATAAAAAGAACGTTCCGTAACGTTGCAACAAAATAACGTTCCAAAATAACGTTAACGTAATAACGACCCATCACTACTCTTTAACTATGGGTCTTTGTAGATCTATTATCTATGGTCTTCAGTCGCCTTTAGCCTTTAGTGCAATCCTGTTGTCTATGGTTAAGTCGTAAATAAATGAATGAGACATGCTGATGTAAAACAAATTTAAATAGTTTGGTATTCTTCCAGTATTATGTGTTATATTAATTAATATATGATAATTGTGACGATTTTAATGAGTATAGTAAAGTTGAATGGGTCATATGTTAAAATAAAGTAATGGAACTGAAAAAAGTCGACAGAAATGAAGAAAATAAAGAAAATCTTACAATTTCAAATAACAAGTTAGAAAAACCTAAATTTTACAGTTTTCAATTTTGCTTTTCTTTCTTTCTATTTTGTTTTAGATTATTACGTTCTGCAGCTGTAAAATCTCTTAGTTTCACGCCTTTGAGGTTAAATCTTCTTCAAAAAGATATTTTAGAAGCAGCCAACGAGCCGTTATCTACGGTAGAAGACGTTTTAGAAAGTGACGATGACAGAGATGAAGAGGAAAAGAGAATCCCTCCTAATAAAAATGTAACTTTTCATTTAAAAAACAGACTGGAAGACAGTCCCATTGATCATGAGAGTATTAAATTAAGCAGTGTTGATACCAGTAATAAACTTTGTGATTCGTTTGAAGAGAAATTATTAACGAAGAATAGAAATGACCTACCATGGAAATTTGTGGAAACTGTTGAACTACAGACAAATCGTAGTCTAATGGTTGGTGAGTAATCTTATTAATTGTATTGTATTCTCTTATTTTGATATAGACTACCCACATTTTAGTGTAATGTAAGAGAGAATAAAAGAAAATGTATACTTATTGTGGGAGACGTAACACTTGCAATATAGAAATTAAAAAATTTCACATATAGGAAATGAAAGAGTGAAGGTATTTGAGTGATATTATAGAAAAGATGGGGATTATTTAGAAAATTTCAAGTAGGGTACTTTTTGTCGTTTTGTAGGAAATTATGGTGCATTTGAGAGCTACTGCACCTTAGTCATTTTGTTACCAGTTATTTCGTTACATGTCTTTTATTTCACATTAATGCCGGAGACCATTGACTACTTTTACTGGTATACAGTGTTTGGATATTGTAACTCAGTTGGAAAATCAGAGAATTATTAAGGTTTTTTCTATTCGGAAAACACAACCGACATTTCGCCCCTACTCTTAGGGGTTTTTTTCAAGGTTAAAGTGATATATGATTAACACTACATTACATTTTATCAATTTTTTAAAAATAGTACGTTTTCATTGTTATATTAGTAATTCCAAAAGCTGTGAGCAGTAGAAGAGATAGAGGAATCACAAATTACACCGTTAACTCTACACACAATAAACAAATAAAATAATAAATACTATAAAAGTTAAAAACGTTGAAATTGTATAAATAAAAAAATATATTAAAAATAGTTAAAAACAGTAAAATTACAACCACCTGGTGAATACTGAGTACAGACAGTGTTCTGTATTTTCTTTCTGCTATTGTACATGACGTTATTCATTTTTTTTTTGTATACATCTACACTTTTTCTTTGACTGCATTACTGTTTGAATGATAATATGTTAAAATAGATGGAATAGCAGCGTGATTAAGGGATAAATAAATTGTAAAAAAATCAGAAAAAGTTGCAATTCGATGTTGGCCCTGCACGTGAATTGGCAACTAACAGATACATCGGCGAAGAATGCATCCGTGTTTGATTCACGCGCTGTTCCATAGAACCCTATATAAGGAAGTCACCGTCTAGGAAACTGTTCGTCTAGAAATTCACGTATTGGTAATGCAATAATACTATTCTGACCTGGTTTATGACACTGACACTCTGCGATTAACTATATATGTATACATACCTTAGATGTGGCAATTCAAAGATACACTTTTTAAAAAAAATTATTTTTAACTTGTATATTGGACAGTGACTCTTGTAAAAGGCCAGTAACATTTATAATGAAGCATTACATGCTGAAAACTGTAAAATTGTATTCTATTACTAGATAGTGTATATGTTTCAGTAAATGTGATTAATCCGGTGATTATATATAGTAACCAGTAATTATGCATAATCACCCCTAAATTTGGTAATTATGATAAATGTTTGAAAACTTATCAAATTAATGTTCGAAAACTATGAAAAAAAAATCTTTCTGAGTAGTAACCACACACTCTATTACCAAATGTAGTGGTGATTATGCATAATTACCGGTTATTATATATAATCACCAGTTTATTAATTTTACCGTGACATTTACATATCTGAGAAAGCAGATTAGCTATTAACAAGTGTAATGATTAAAATATAACATTCCTCCTGTGTTAGACAAAAAATCAATTCTCAGATTTGATTTTTTGAACAATAGTCAAAATTAGAAATTAATAGTAATACTAATAATACGAGTAATTATGAACATTGCTAAGATACAAAACTCAACTACAATACTAAAATAAGCAAAAGCAATATAATATTGAATAAGTAAAATTAAAATGAAAAGTATGAATATAAATTTAAAATAATCATTAAGACTATTATTATCACTTATAAACTATTTTCTTAATTGATGCGGACGTCGTGTAGATTATGTGACTGAAACTTCACTGAAATTAATCGTTTCAGGGTGGTTGTTCTCTTCATCTGGCTGTTATTCCCTTGAAGTAGTTACTGAAGGAATACTCGATATACGATTAACTAATTTTCATTTCATTATTACTAGTTGTCTAATGGATTAGTTAAACAAAAACATGCCGAACAAAACAATAACCACACCATAATGTAAAAGTTACCTTGATAAAACAGCACAAATATTGGAACCAGTATTTCGAAACACTACCGCCGGTTTATTGAGTTTGGTTTGTGTTTCATTTTGAAAGTCGTTTAACTCGGCTAAAACACTTCTTGTTTCCTTCTCGTGTAATTTTTTATTTGGAATAGGCTTCAACTCAACTTCCTTCATATTTTCGACGGCTTGGTGACAACAATCCGTATCAATTTCGGGAAGAGAATGATCTGTGTAAACTTCTTTGGTAACAATGTTTTCTGCTTTCATGAAAATACCTTTGGTAGTATATATCACACAGTGGGGTTGGAGACTTATGATACAAGATGAATTAATGATTATCTTTTCCAGATTTTCTAAAGGTCACTTTGATATTATCTCTTCGTTTTCTGCTGCTAGACATAGCCACGAATTTTGACCTAAGTGAATGAACTCGAGTTTTTAAATAGCGCTGTACGAAACACACATGGTTTTGGGAATTCTTTTAGTTTGATAAGATATACTTCACCTTGTGATTCCTCAGAAATGTCCCTGGTAAAAATATGTGCGCAGATAAATTTATCTGGCATCAATATACAGTGAAAATTTCGGAATATCGATTTATTTGGTCTCATTTTTGAGAGGCTGTTAAAACTTGTTGATTACATCGTTGAATGTTAACTACTTTAATAAGATTATTAGAAACATTTTGAATTCTAATTAAATTTGTCCGAATTGACGATTCGAATTAATAAAATTTTTAGAAGGCTTTGTATTTATCATTATGTTATTTGAAATGTGGGCATTTCTTTTCATTAATTTTATCGTGATTGTGTTTACATAAGTGTTTACCTAACTATTATTAAAGTAGAGTAATATTCCTCATCATTCGAATCCATCAAACCAAACATCGTATGTAAAGCATTACCAACAAGATTAAGCCACCCTCGTTTCATTCTACTACGTCTAACAAAGTTTTCGATTTTATTTAGTTGGTGTTTTTTTTCACATATCGCTGTTTTATTTGTCAAATTAGTTATAACGGTTACTTTACAAATTATTCGCAAAAGGATTTTGACTAAATTAGTGTTTGTTTTAGAGCTTAACCTCTTAATTGGTGTTTTTACATTTCTTAAAATAATAAAATTGTTTGTCGTTTTAAGATGTACATTCATTTTTACTACCAGATCCACTACTATCATTAGATATATATTCAGTTTCGAATAGGTACATTCATTTTTTGTATACTTGTATTTCTTTTAAAGCATTTGTCAATGGTGTGGCCAGGAATCTTACAATACCTAAACTGCGATCGAAATCAACATACTTTTCTACTTTTATGGGTTTTAATTAATTTATGCTTATTTTTTGGTTTAAAAATTTAAATATTAGAGTCTTTCCTAAACTTAATACTTTTTTTATATCCTACAAGACCGAGAAAAGCTTTAATTTCTTTTGTGGTTTTCGGTAGAGGGTATTCTTGAACTACTTTGATTTTCTGGGGGTTCGGCTTGATACCATCGGGTGTTATTACGTGACTAAAAAAAGCTACTTCTTTTCGAAGGAACTCAGACTTGTATAGTTGGACTTTAAGGTTGAAGTGACGTAATTTTTCAAAAATCTGCTTTATATGAAGGATATGTTCTTGAAGGGAATTTGGAAAAATCACGACATCGTCCATGTAAACAAAACGGGATTTATATAGATGTTCTTTTAGAACGTGATCCATTATCCGTTGAAACTGGAGGCATTTTTTAAACCGAACGGCATGCGTAAGTACTCATAATGACCGTTATTTACTGTGAAGGCAGTTTTTTCGATGGATTCTGGGTCATTTCGATTTGGTGAAATCCCTGAGCCAAATCTAGTGTAGATAAATAGACACATTTACCAAGATTGTCAAGGATTTCCTCGATGTGTGGAAGAGGGTATTTATCTTCTATAGTTTTTTCGTTTAGTTTTCGATTGTTAATAACCAAACGCCATTTACGTTTACCGCTGGCATCTAGCTTTTTGGGGACAATCCATACGGGTGAGCTGTAGGAGGAAATGCTTGGTCTTATAATTTTGTTATCTAAAAGCTTTTGAATTTCAGTTTTTAAGTGATATGGGTATCTGAAATATTTACAAAAAACGGGGTCATTATCTACTGTTTGACTGCGTTTGTAAACGTCAGGTCAGTGTTTTCATAATAAAAAACGTCACTATATTTTTTACAAAGAGCTATTATTTCCGCCTTTTCTTCGATATTTAAATGTTCTGTTCGAATCAATTGTGACATGTCGACTTTGTGGGAAGGGTTTTCTTTTTCTTCTTTTATGGTTACATTGTCTAAAGGTTGTACCGTCACCTGTTGATGGAAATTAATTTCAATTTCGTTCTTCTCTGGCAAAGGCAGATGCAATAGCCGTTTTTTGCGTGTTATGGATTCGGGAATGATCAATCCGTTGTAGTTTAATTATGGAACGATTACTCGGCCGCTATGGATGTTAACCGGTATTTTTATAACAGATTTTACCTTTTTTTTATAGGGTTTAAAGTTTTTTGGATTAAGTTCCAAATAAAAAGGAATTCTAGCGTTGCCAATTTCTAATAGTTGTTGATTATAGTCTATTTTGACGTCTAATTTTTCAAAATCTTCGCTACCCAAGAGGGCATCAATGCGGTCGTGCCATTTTAGTACATGAAAATTAATTTCTTTATTTATTCCGTATTCTTGTAGTAGAGGGTACCGAACATTATATTCATTTGTTATTTCGTTTCCTAGGCTTTTTACGGTAAATGTTTTTCCAAAAAGGGAATTGCGAAAGTATTTGTGAGCAACTTCAGGGTTCATTATCGAATTGGATGCGCCAGAGTCAATAAATATTTTTAAATTAAAACTAGGTATAGTAATGAAAGGTAGTCTGGGTCTTATTAATATTGAGTTTAAGTCGAGTCTAATTGTTGGGAGGCTGATGGTA